GAGGTAGAGGAGCCAAGTGGCTGGCTCACTGCTGTCAACTAGTGGTCAGAGGCTGAACTACAACATAAAAATGAATGGCTGGCTGGCAGGAAAGTTGACATTTTAAACCTTAATAAAAAAATCGATAAAGGGCATTAGAATATCGATACAGTATCGGGAAATGAAATATCGCGATATTTCAGTGTATCGATATTTTCTTACACCCCTATTATCCTTATTACATAGAGTTATAAACAAATTGCTGACTAAATGCAAAAAATGAAAATTTACTATAAATGTACATCTAATAGTGGTTTGCATTTTTTTTACTTTATTGGTGAATACTTAAAGTCCAATTCATTTTATTTCTTCACTTCCAAAAGGAATGTTTTTTCACCACTTATTGACTTTCGCTATGCACTGTTACAACTAAACAATAGAAGATGAACTTTCAAAAGTATAAATAAAAGCTTCTACAGGAAAAACTGGATGACCAAGTGCTGAGTGAGAGCATATAAAATGTGTTTTTGGAGACAAATACTGAGAATCCTGAACCATTTGGCAACACCTTTCTGGCAGGTGCTGCTGATGTGGTGGTAGTGATTCAAAAAATGTAGGCATAATGTCTGATGCCATCGTAGTAGGGGTGGATAAAATTGTATTGTGTGCAATGAATTGTCAGAAAAACCGTCACTGATTAATATTTGACACTTTGTGATTACTACTCTCAGTGCTGTGCAGGGGCGGACTGGCATTCCGGCGCTCCTCTTTCCTCCTACAAAAAAGTAGATCATCTACTTCCTCGTCAAAACGCACCCCCCCCCCCCCCACACACACACACACACACACATTTCTGCCTTTAAGCTTACCTGTATGAAAAGTTTCTGGCTGTGGCTCGGACCAATCCGCTGCAGCTCCACATTTATTCTAATTCTGTTTTTTTATTTTTTTTACTTGCCGTATCTTGCCCGCTAAAGCGATCTAAATCGACCATGTGACTAGGACACAACGATGCGTACTAGGATTCCAGGGGGTTAATCGTTACACATTTTATGCCAATATCGCCTAACCCTGCTTCACAGGATATGTGTGTTTCAATCACTATGAATGAAACCATCACTAACAAACTTTACAAACTTTAGAACTGTTCTCTCAAATAGTTTATCCACAGGGATTTTTAGCATGAGAGCAAGTGTGACCGTCGATGCATTCAAAGTGCCTGGGAAAACYTAACTACCTATGCAACAGTGCAAATATGGGGGGAAAAGCCATTAAAAATTGGACTCAGTATTTGTAATACAGTCATTTTTTTCTTCAAAGTTTTTTTTATTATTTTTAGCAAAAACACAGACAAAAAACAAGCTAACAGAAAAACACACCCCTAAAAACCCTCCCATCCCTCTCCACCTATACCGGATCTGCTAACAAAACATAAATATAAATACATCTTGTATTCATGTATC